GAGCAGTCCCCAAACTCCAGTGTCCCATGTCCCAGGCCTGGGAGCCCCGAGCACCCATCAGCCTAGCCATGCTGCTGCAAGAGGCACAGCCTCGGCTGCAAATGCTGTCATCACTATCACAGGAGGGTAATTAGTGTGGACAAAGCCTCAGAGATCACACACAGCATCCCCCCACACATCCAGAGTAGCTGTGCGGTTTGCCACTTTGCTTTAACACTCACTGGCTGGCAAAGGCTGAAAGCCTCATCAGTAATTTAGGGCAAAGCACATTACAAGCAGGTTACAATTATGGTTATTCCAAACATCAAGCAAAATAAGAAGTTAAGGCTGAAATTAAAAATAAACGGAAGGTGTTGAAGGTCTGAGGTTTCTCAAACTCCCCCTGCCCTGTCACAATGCTGGCTAAGATGTCCAGGTAGGAGCAGGGCACATCCAGTGTGCTCAGGCTAAACCACTGCCAAGAGTATCAGGGTTAGGGCTGCTTTTGTTTTCTTTTTCTTCCTTTATTTTCTCCCCTGAAACTGAGCTGAAGCTTTTCTAGCACTGCATTGTCTCAGCTTTATTCATTAATGTCCTTTGGATTCAATCATCTCTCTTATCTCTCAAATTTTAACACCATCCACACCTTCAGAGCCTCTGCCTGCAGGGGTTTACCCCTGAATTAACACGTGCTCCCATGGTGCTCTGTGCATTGAAGTGAATCTGGTTCTGGTGTGTTTGGGTTTTTTTTTGTTGAATAGGAGAAGTTTAACTGGAGAACAGCAAAAGCAAGCTACCATGAACGAATTTGCATCAGGACATGTGCAGTAGATGATTACCTGTTACAGTGGTAGCTCACATGCTACACTCACCTGAGCCCTGGCTGACAGTGGGCACAGGGGAAGATGATACAGTGTCCTGTGCCCACTCCCATCCTGCCCACACATCCCACAGCTCCTGTGGTGGCTCCTCTGCAACCCTCCACCCCTGTCTGGACCATGATGTTACCCCTCTCCAGAGGTCCTCCACCACCAAAGGTCAACTAGGACTTCTCCTGCCCACTATGGAAATCCATCACTAAAGTGGGTTCTGCCGTGGGACAGAGGCCACAGCTGCTGACCCCAGCCCAGTGTTCTGAGCAGGGGCAGCCAGGCTAATCCTGAGAGCAAAGACATGGAGTAGCAAAGTGTTTATATGGGAGCAAAGCCTTTGTCCCCTTCAGAACCAGGAAGAGGGAGCCACTCCTACAAGTGGGAATGCACTCATAAGCCTAGAAGTTCCTGTGAGTCTCTCTGGGACAGCAGAGAAGGGGCAGAACTCTGAGCAGAAATAATTACACCCTTGATTGTGTTTCTACAGTGCTCCATGACAGTGAATCAACACAAGAGTCACCTCTCACCCACCTTGGGTACAATTAGGGTTGACTGATGACTGTTTGTGGCCAGGTGATCAAATCCCTTCGACACAGCAAAAAAACACCCCATGGCCGAAGCCCTGGACCTGCTGCGAAGCTGTGCAAGCCCAACCAAGGGCTGCAGGAGTCTCTCACCCACAGGAGAGTCTGCCAGGGGTACATGTTACTTTGATGCTACCCTCTACCTTGAAACCCTCTGTGATTCAAACTGGCAGCAAACGAACCCAATTGCTTCAGCACAGACATGCCCCTCTCCTCCTCCAAGGCAGTGCTGCCAGCTGCCATCACAGCAAGAGTCACCTCAAGTGCAGAAGAAACCCACAATTCTTTTGCAAGGGTTTTACTGCCTGGACTTGTTCCCCAGCTCATGCTCATGCTCCCTGCTGATGAGGGCAGCTGTGGCAGGGCAGGACTGTTGGGACCTCTCTCTGTGCCTGGTCAGGCCTTATCCATCCTGCTAAGGTGATCCAACACAGCTAGCCACTCCCAAAAGCACCACTTCTCCCTCTGGAAAGCCCCTCTGATATAACAGATGAGGGCAAGGAGAAGAGAGCAGCTGGCTGGCTTCCTCCTTCAGTGGTGTTCCCCAACACCAATTTCACCAAGCAGTCTCCCAGCTATGCTGAAGTCAATTTTGTACTAGCAGCTGGAAGGTAGCAAGCCAGAAACCTGGATCCTTGTGGAAAAGGGAGACAACAAGAGAAATGGGGTACAATCAGCTGCAATGAGTTAGGCTGTGGGAAATGCCATGCAAAGGTTTAATCCACGTTCACTGTTCAAAACAAGCGTTTGGGCAAGCGCCTGCTGCGTGAAAGGTGACTGCTGCTGTGAGCCTCACCCTGCTACATGAGCACACTGTTTACAGAAGTGATTTTTTTCCAAACCTGCTCTCATGAGAATTCACTGAGAACTTCTCCATTTTACAGATTTAAAAAAGCCTGCACCAAAAATATTCACAGTTTATTTTTTTTCATGAAACAAGTAGCTAGTTAACACGTGACAATGCGAAGCGGAGGTGGACAGAGCAGTGCAGAGACCTCTCTGGGTACGGCGGGAGCTGGCTGGGTGCTGGCACTGAGGGAACCCTACTTACACAATCTACATGACTAAGTCCAGCTCATGGGAAGGCCTATAAATGTAGATTCAAGATTGGTTTTCCTTCTCACACATGATAAATACTTAATATACTGAACATCATTTACCTTTTTTTGTTTTTATAGCTTTTGTTTAAAAAAAGTGAATGAATGCCCTTAAGATCATCTTCACTCTCAATGGATCTGAGGAGTTGTCCTGATTCCCTTTGTGGAGGAGTCACGCAGAAACACAAGCTGCTTGCATTTCCCCAGTTTCAGCAGCAAGCAGGAACTGACCTGCAAGTCTTCCCGGAAAAATAAAAACAACATTAAACAAGTTTCCATAAGCCATAAAGCTTTTCCAAGTCGCAAGCTATTCTACAAAGGATCTGAAATGATTTGGACTAGAGAAGAGGTGCACCACAGCACTGGTAACGTCCCCTTGTGCCCAGCACACCTGGCCTTTACAGCAGGACGCTGTCTCGAGGTGCACACGTCAGGAAAGAAGGGATCGGGATTTGTCTCGGTACAAGTGTCTGCCTCCCTTCATAGAAAACTGCAAAGCTCAGGGGACCGTCTGCTCTGGTAGCAGCAGGCACTTGCAAGCCAGGTGGGAACAAGGACCTGCTCCCACATCAGAGGGAGAGGATAAGCCTGGAGCTGAAAGCTCCCTTTCTGGGGAGGGACCTGCGGATCTGCCTGGAAGGAGAAGGATACACACACTGGAGCTGTGCGAGGGTCTGGCGGCGGCACAGAGATCTGAGGCTGCGGCCCCAGATCGGTGGAGCTCAGGTAAACCAGAGGTAACGTGTTGTGAGAGTGGGAGAGTGCTGGTCAGCAGCGCTTCCTCGGCAGGACACCAACCCCACCCAACCCCAGGGAGGCACATCCTCCTCCTGCCTGTGAGGGTGCTGGAGGTCACAGCACACCTCACTGCAGATCCCTGGGGCTCTACTGCCTGCCTCACAGCCAAGCCAACTTCTGCCTCGGCGCCTGAGTGAACAGCTTTCAGCAGGCTTAGTCTGGACACCAGCCTGAAGACCACCAGGTACTAAACATTTCCTTCACTGGAAAAGGGAGAAGAGGAAAAAAGAAAGCCAGCCAGCTGCTGGAGCCCACCGTGTTCCAGTGTGAGAACTACTATTCAGTTGGAAGGACACACACGCGTACACACACACATGCACACCAACACAGTCCAGTTAATTCAAGTCTCCTTTGGTTGTAGAAAAGTTAAGCCAGAAGCTACCCAAGGGGAAGGTGTTGAGATGGGTCCTGATACAGCTACAGCACCCTTGCCTCTGCGCTGTGCAGCGAGCAGGACAGGCTCTGCTTGCTGCTGGCAACACCAGGTGTGATGGGAACACATCAACATGTCTGAGGCAAGGGGAGAAAGGACTGCTCAGCCCACTGGCTCAAGCTGACGACAGAAATCAAGAAGAGACTGGATGGAAAATCGAAAGGGAGCACCACCCCCCTGCCAGGGCAGTGCTCAGCACCTCAGGGAACCCACTCTGCCCTGCTCTGCTATTGCTGCTTTATGGGTCACTACGTTTTCAAGTGCAGGAAAACACTTCACGTGTCTGTGCTAAAGGATTAAGACACAAGAATGAAAAAACTGCCAGGTGACTTCTTCCAAGATCTCTCTTTTCCCTGACTTCCTCCAGATTTCCCATTTCTCAGGCCTGGCCAGTCACAGCTCTGTACAAAGGAGCCTGAATGGACACTGCCTATTGCTGGAGAAAACAGCACTGAGGGAGTGCAGTGGCTTCTCTCCCAGCTCGCTGGAGACCATCCCTGTCCTTCAGCGAACCACACATGCAGCACATCCCAGTGAACACACGGACAAACCTCGCAAAGCAACGCCCTGCAGGGACAGAGATCTGGGCAGCTGACAGATAAATCCCTTCCCTGCTTCTGGAGTCTGGCAAGGACATACCCCTGACTGCTCACCACCTGAGCCCTGAAACTTCTCCAGTCCCAGGGCAGCCTGACTGATCCGCTTCCTTTCAATGCAGTAACAAGAGCAAGGCCCCTGGTTGCACCTGGGAACCCACCTACGAATCAGACCTGGAGCCTGAACACGCTGGATCAGTAAAGTGACCATTCCAATGGAACTGGAGAGTTTTACCCAGAGTGGACTCTTTATTTCAGCTTTACCATTTGTGAAAGGAAGAGGAAAAGGTCACAGATGCTCTCTCCCTTTGGCTGGGCCAGACTCAGATTTAAGAGAATGTCCTTGCTCATGTCACGAGAGAATATGGATGGGATGTGCATGGGTTAGGGGCTGGGCTCAGGGATGTGAATAAAAATAAAACAAACAAAGATTCCCCCTCCCTAAACATTAAAAGACTGAAACCTTCCTCCCATATTCACCAACCTCACTTTGGCTCTGAGTCGGCCAACTCATGACAGACAGAATCCTGGTTACGGGCTAGCGTTGTGTTTTGTTCAGGCAAAGGGTCCTGCCCCCGAGGAGTGTGTGCTTTTCCACTCAGCCAAGAAATCTGATCAAGTGTCTGAACGTTCGTGATAAGCCACTGCATCTGCTCCGGGGGCACCGGCGCTTCCCTGGCCGGCCGAGGGGTCTGCTCGAACGTACACAATCTCTCTGATGTCCATGGGGTCTGCTCTGCAGGGGCTGAGGCCACTTCCCAGCTGGGCTGAAGGGTTGGCTCTGGTAGTTTCTCTGCTGTCCGGGAAGGCTGCTCTGCAGGCGTCAGGGCTTTCGCGGTAGGCCAGTGGCTTTGCTCGTGCGTCTGTAGTTTCTCTGTAGGCCAAGGTACTTGTCCAACATGTGTCACTACCTTCCCAGCAGACCAAGAGATTTGCTCCCCAGCTAACATGGTCCTCTCTTTCTGCTGGGGACTCAGCTCCACGGCTGGGGCT